GATGCTGTGAGTGATCCATTGTGTATAACTTTGTTCCGTTCCTGGCTGGGCCACAGACTTTCTCGGTGGTGCGGGGTGAGTCATTTAGATCAAAATTTCAGTTAACCACAGTCGGTTCCTTATTTCTGGTTGCTCAACTTGGAACATCTGGTGCCTGATTTGCAGAAGTGTTGATTGCTTGCAGCTGTAGCTGATGTAAATAGTAGTTGTGGATGCTCAGCAGTTCTGGACAGCAAGGCGGTGCATTCTGGTACAATGAGCATAGGGTTGGAATTCAGTTCACAATATGGCCATGGGCTCTTTTATTTCAGGCTGTGGGTCTTAAATAGCTTTAGCTTCAATTTATAATAAAGTGTGAATGAAAACAGATTATTATTTTGATGAAAGTCTGTGTGTGGACAAGCCCATAGAGGTTCTCTTCCACTGAATTGGAAGACTACTTCCATTTTTGTTATCATAGAATCATAGAATATCAGGGTTGGAAGGGACCTCAGGAGGTCATCTAGTCCAACCCCCTGCTCAAAGCAGGACCAGTCCACAACTAAATCATTCCAGCCAGGGGTTTGTCAAGCCTGACCTTAAAAACCTCAAAGGAAGGAGATTCCACCGCCTCCCTAGGTAATGCATTCCAGTGCTTCACCACCCTCCTAGTGAAAAAGTTTTCCTAATATCCAACCTAAACCTCCCCCACTGCAACTTGAGACCATTGCTCCTTGTTCTGTCATCTTCTACCACTGAGAACAGTCTAGATCCATCCTCTTTGGAACCCCTTTCAGGTAGTTGAAAGCAGCTATCAAATCCCCTCTCATTCTTCTCTTCTGCAGACTAAACAATCCCAGTTCCTTCAGCCTCTCCTCATAAGTCATGTGTTCCAGTCCCCTAATAATTCTTGTTTCCCTCCGCTGGAAGCTTTCCAATTTTTTCACATCCTTGTAGTGTAGCGCCCAAAACTGGACACAGTACTCCAGATGAGTCCTCACCAATGTCGTATAGAGGGGAACGATCACGTCCCTCGATCTGCTGGCAATACTCTTACTTATACATCCCAAAATGCCATTGGCCTTCTTGGCAACAGGGGCACACTGTTGACTCACTGTTGTCTTGTAGTTACTCAGGAAAGCTTTCATTGAGTCTTGCCATGGAAAATTTGGAAAGGTAAGAATACAGTATATTTAAATGTGAAATCACTTACTCACTATTTTTTAAAGGGAAGACAAATTTTTGACCGCAAAATGATCAAGTTCAGTCGTTTTGAAAATAACCATGCCAAGCGGCATTAGATCAAGTGGTGAGGCCATGTCTACACTTCCAAGCTTATAGGAGCACAGCTGTACTGATACAGCTGTGCCACTGTAAGAGTGCTCTTATAGCCACGTCATGCTGGTGGGAGAGAGTTCTTCTGTTGACATAATAAAACCAGCTTTATAAGCAGTGGTAGCTGTGTCCGCGGGAGAGCGTCTCCCACTGACATATAATTGTGCACACAGGCGCTTATGCTGGCAGAAGTTATGTGGCTCGGGCGTATGTTTTTTCACCCCTGAGTGACAGAAGTTTTGCTGACATAAGTGCGAGTGTAGACACGGCCTTATTTTCAGGGTTCATCCTGCTATATCAAGTTGGGAGTAGCCTGAAGCACTTAACAGCAGCTGTAATTCATGCTCTATGTAACTTTATAACTCATTTTTTTGGGGGGAGAAGGGAATCTGATCTTTGTTAACTATCTGTTGTACTGATTGCTGTAGTAACAAATGTAATTAAAACAATCCTATGTGTCACGTGAAGAAATGTGAGGCATCAGTGAAGACCAGCAATCTATATAAGTTAAGAATCATAATGATGGTGAATGCAGTTGAATTCCATGTAAAGCTTTTGGATAGTTAAGTTTACAGGATTTTGATTTTTCTCATCTTTTATATAAAGGATCAGTTAAAAGAAAACTGTTCTGTACTGGTTTAACAAAAGTTTGTGAAAAAGGCCTAATGGGTAAGTAATGGTATTGTTTATACCTGTTTATTTTGACTGCCAGACTTTAAAAAAAGTTTGAATTAAATACAAATTTGGAAGGGGATACTGTCTAGTGGTATTTCTGTATTGTGGAGCTACAAAATGGGATTTTCGCTCTGCAGTAATTCTGCATTATGATGCAGTCTTTAATTGTGTGATTGCATACTAATTTTTCCCCCCACAGGACCCCTGCTTCATACAGTGCACAGGATGGGACCTGCTCTGGGAATGAATCAGGGTTGTGTAGTAAAAGAGGCAATTGTCTGTAGGACCCCTGCCTTGTGTTGCTGAAATTGGAAGGTGTGTGGTGAATGAGGTAGAAGAATACAGGAGGATTGTTTCATGATTAAGGCACCAGAGGGCAATGAGAAGCGTTTTGCCAGTGGGTTTCACAGATGTCTGGTGGCAGCGGAGCAGACTCAGAAATTTTGTATTCCATTTTAGGTTCTAGAGGGGAGAATAGGGAGTATACTCCAGTGGTCACAGACCCTTCTGCATTTGTCACCTCCGGCCTGTCTCTGTTCCAGTCTCCCAATCTAGTTAGTCCTAATCTCCATACACCCACCCCACCCTACCCCCGATGACTCCTCTCATCACACTTTTGGGGTATGTCTACACTGCCCATGTTACAGCATGGCTGCAGCAGTGCAGTGATGTGGGCAGTCTAGTGATACTTTATGGCCGGGGAAAGAGCTCTCCCGGCGATAAAAAAGAAACCACCCTGAACAAGCAGCGGTAGCTTTATCGCTGGGAGTGCTGTCTATACTAGCGCTTTTCAGTGCTAAAACTTTTGTCGCTCAGGGGTATGTTTTTTTTCACACCCTTGAACAACTAAAGTTTTAGCGCTGAAAGTGGCAGTGTAAACACAGCCCCACTCTCCTTTTGCAGCCAGCCCTTTTCTCCCACAGCAGACTCCCTGTTAGATTTCCACTTGCTTCCCTGCACCTGCCATCCCCAAACCCTGGCTTCTCTGGGGTCCTCATCCAGTCTTGGTTGTCTGTCCCTTCTAGCCCCTTTCCAATCTCTCTCCCTCTGCCCCAGCTCCTTGTCTTAGTCTTCCTGCCTAGCGAGTTCCAGTCCCCTGCCCCCAACCTCCTCATCTGATCTCTCTCTCCCCTCCATCTCTCAGTCTCAATACCCTTTCCCTGGCTCCTTGTACCAATCTGCTCCCTTCCCTCGGTCCAGGTCTTGTCTCCTCTGCATCTGAGACAGGTTGCTTTTTTCCTCCATGATACCTGGGCATAGTAGAAGGAGCATTGACAGTGCAGACTGTCTCCCTTTCCTCATTTTTCTGCCTGGTGCCACCAGGATCAGCAGTTACAGGGGAACTCTAACAAAGTTTCTTCTGAGCATTTGCTAAGATTATTCAAAGGCTCATAATGTGGCCAAATTTTGAGTTTCCTGCCCAGAACAGCAAAAGGCACATCTCTGACACCAGAACCCATGTGCCCCCTGCCACATTTCAGGTCCCTGTTCTAAAGCATGAAAGTACTAGAGCTTTTCAACAAAACAGCTGCATGACTTTAACATGGGCAAAACAACATCTTTCTTCAGTCTTTTATTCTTTGAAACAAACTACTTTTGTTGAAACTTTCACCCAAAAATTAAGACTGAGGCAGAAGCCTGGCATAGGAAATTTCAGCCTAAATGATTAAAGTTTAGCAAAGTTATAAACAACTAAAACCAGGGTCGTCTTATGGGGACATGTCAGACAGACTTCAGTGTAGGTGGTGCTCCTAGCTCAATCTGTAATAAAGCAGGTGTTTTCTTTGAAGAATCTCTCACTGGTTAGATATGATTATTACTGACTAGTTGGTTTTGTGCTGGATCACTTAATATTCTCTTTCTGGAATCCTGTCAGTTAAATGTTTGGGGTTTTATCAGTTGCAAGATGAAATACCTCCCAGTACTTTTTCATCATAAATCCATTGTAGTCTTGCAGCTTCACGATGAGCATTGTTGCTTGAGCTGCCCCAAACACCTGCTTTTCTTCTTACCTATAGTGTTCTTGATACTGATTCTGCACTGTCTTGGACACTCTACTATCATTCACACCTGTGTAAAGTGGGTATAAAATGGTCATTCAGAATTGGTAGCATTTTACTTACTTTGTGCAGTATACAGGGCAGTGGACAATTGGTCTCCTGGTATTTAATATTTGATGTTGGTGTGTGGACTTCACTATTTGTCATCCCATTCTTTAGGAAATGTTTTGGTCTTGAAAGCAAAAGGCCCGAACTGTATTACTGTAGTTATTTTTGTTTAAGATAGCTTAAGTGTGGAATATCCATTTCCAGTTTCTTGCAAAGGCTCTTGTAGGATATTGCTACAGTGAATTACCACATACATGCCTATGGTTGTATACTGCTCTCTGCTTCAGATATTTTTATGTAATTGAATTTTTGTCTCAGTAGTTTCAGTAGAAAAAAATATTGTGGAGGGTAATAACTTCTGAGCATCCAGATTGCAGGGTACCAGAATAGCACACATTACCCTACTTGTTACAAATTTTGGACACAGAGAGTATGTTGTGGTAAGGTTTCTCTGTAAATGGTGAGCCACTAAAAGACTTGAGCATTACTACTGTTCTGAGATAGAAGGATCTGGATATTCAGCAGTAAAAGGAGCGGCAGCAGCAGCAGCAGCAACAGCGGTAGTAAAGACAGAGCAGGTTCCACAGTTAGCATATTTCACAGTATGAGTCAGTGTGAACACAGCTTCCCAGATAGCTGCCTGCAGGAGGGAATGAAAACTGTATATTGAAAAAATATTCAGGTTTCATGATTATGATGCTAAGTCATGTGATCTTTACTATACCTTAAGTTGCCAACTTAGCTTTACTCAAGAGAGGATCCTTTGCTGCAGTGTATTTAAAAAAAAACAAACGGAAAATTGTGCAATGTGTGTTTATGCTTACACCATGCCGAGGAGACCCTTACCAGTAAATAATCTGTGTGTCCCTGAGGTAAGATATTGTTTCTGCTTTCCCTGCACAGTGCTGCTGCAGCACGGAGCTGATCCAAACATTCGGAACACTGATGGGAAATCAGCACTGGACCTGGCAGATCCTTCAGCAAAAGCTGTACTCACAGGTAAGAGTCATAAGTTTCTATTGAATTGTCTTCTATAGTTCATTGTGTATATACCTCTTCAGCATAGAAGGAGCAAAAATGTATGTGTCGTTATCAGGTTCCTTATTGAGTGGATATAACTGCCATTAATTGCCATGCTTCCAGAGGTTTGAATTGCTTATTTCACTTATTTGAGAGAATTGTGTAATTAGAAAACATCATTCATTATTCACTGCATTTTTATCACTAGCCTTCATATGGGTTGAATTGCAGCCTCCATCCCCTGCCCAAAAAAAAGGTGTCAATTACTCAACAGTGAAGGTCTTAAAACAATCAAGGACGTTTGTATTACTGTAATAGTAGCTGTGATCAGAAAGGTAACCTGCTACCTTATAGCTTAAATCAATATTTGCTATGGATTTGTGTGCTGCTCTTCTTCCTCCTCATCATTAGCCATTTAGATATAAATGATGGGCGACACTGAATTCTGTGGGCTATTAACCTAACCATTAAAGAATACTTTGCACATTGTTTTTTACGAATGTAATGTTTTCATATACTTATATTTTTATATATAATATTTATTAATTACTTTAAAATATCAGTGACCATTAAAAATTAGTATCCTATGGAAGAGTTGTATGTCCAGAGTTCATATACGTTTTGTGCTGGTTTTGTTTTAAGTGATTTTTAGGAAATAGAGGTTAGAAGGAGATAAATGTGGCTATAAAAGCATATTAGGCTGGGGATTAGATTCAGCAGTTGACCCTCATTGTCAACAACTAGCTATTTTTTTCCCTAGTGTTTTATTTGTCTTTGCACTCTTCCCTCCTCTTTTGTATTGACCAGTTAATGTGTAGTTGATCTGCTAATGCAAAACACATCTCTCCTTGTGCATGTTTGTGTTTAGGAAGGGAGAATACAGCTCCCATCACATTCGGTCAGTAAACATTTTCCCCCCTTTCTTTTTTCTCCCAGTACACTGTTATACATTATCTGATCTGAAGTGAACTGAGTGTGTTTGTGGAACAAAGCTCTTTAAACATGACTTAGTTTAATTACTGTGCCTCAAATTTAAAGAGACTCCTGTAGTGTTAACATTAATGATAACTGTGCTAGTCAGGTTAATCTGATTTTTGTCAGTTAATAAAAGGTAAGATATTACAGACACTGCATGCAGATAGGATATATGTGGGAATCAAGGCAACTTTAAAATAAACTACCTAGGAAGGGATTAATGTGAACGGAAAATTTAATTACAAGCAACACTGAAAATTTTCTGCTTTGGGGCCACTGATTCATGCCATCTTTTCAGGCTCTCCCTAAGGCCAACCTCAGGTGTCAGCAATAAATTTAGGAAGAGCTTTTGCAAAGGTGACCTCACTATGACGTGCCCCATTATCCATTTTAAGTACATGGGGATCTTTTTGCAGATTTCAGTGGGCATTGGATCAAGCTCATGTGCCTTTGGAAAAAGAGAACAGTCTGTTGTAGCAAGTGTGTATGGGCTGGAAGTGGCCTTCTGGAAGGCTGTAGACTCTCCCTGCGGTAAGCATAGTTTGCTGTATGGAGCTTGCAATTGTTCTTCCTTATCTCCTAGCACAGGAGTGCCCAATTGTTGCAGTACTGAGGGATACCTTGACAAATTGATGGAAGCTAAAGGTCTGCACCGAAGCTGCATATAAACTTCAAATATAAATAGAACCAAATTTTCTTGTATTCTTCCTTTGTAGATTAATAAAATGAGTTTTTTTTTTTTTTTTGTTTACTATCACTAGCAGTGAGAGCTTGAAGTTCCTCAGCTTTGTCCTGAAGGTGACCCTTGGCTACATTTTGGCCCTTCAGTTATATATTGTGCATCTGTGCCCTAGCTGTATACACTGGAAACACATCACCCTTCAGCTGGTATACAACAGAATTAATAGGTTTAAAAATGTTGTAGCTGGAATCCACCTAAATCAGAACTTCTTATTAATGACTGTTTTGTGGAGACTATTCATCTGCATATCTTCTCTGTTAAACTTCTGCTTTCCCATGTATTTCCAGTGTGCTACATCTTTAGGGGCTCTCCTCTGTTCACTGTCTTAAAGGGATTTGACAGAAAATTTTGGTGGCTCGAGCTTCACAATAGCCTTTGGCAGTAGCATTCTCTCTGAGATCAGATATAAGTGTGTTAGACGATATTGTTTAGTGAGATGAGTACTAGATTACACTTCATTTACAGTATTTGTATGTTACATGGTGATATTTTTGGAGGTGCTCAATGTTTGATTAACATTGCTCCTGTTAAAGACAATGGTAAAACTCCTCACTTTAATGGGAGCAGAGTTGACTCAGGCTTGGTGTACAGTACGCGGTTATTTTGGAATTAGCCGAGTTAATTGGTGGGGAGGGATAGCTCAGTGGTTTGAGCACTGGCCTGCTAAACCCAGGGTTGTGAGTTCAAACCTTAGAATTATAGAATATCAGGGTTGGAAGGGACCTCAGGAGGTCATCTAGTCCAACCCCCTGCTCAAAGCAGGACCAATCCCCAACTAAATCATCCCGGCCAGGGCTTTGTCAAGCCTGACCTTAAAAATATCTAATGAAGGAGATTCCACCACCTCCCTAGGTAACGCATTCCAGTGTTTCATCACCCTCCTGGTGAAAAATTTTTCCTAATGTCCAACCTAAACCTCCCCCACTGCAACTTGAGACCATTACTCCTTGTTCTGTCATCTGCTACCACTGAGAACAGTCTAGATCCATCCTCTTTGGAACCCCCTGTCAGGTAGTTGAAAGCAGCTCTCAAATCCCCCCTCATTCTTCTCTTCCGTAGACTAAACAATCCCAGTTCCCTCAGCCTCTCCTAATAAGTCATGTGTTCCAGTCCCCTAATCATTTTTGTTACCCTTCGCTGGACTCTTTCCAATTTTTCCACATCCTTCTTGTAGCGTGGGGCCCAAAACTGGACACAGTACTCCAGATGAGGCCTCACCAATGTCGAATAGAGGGGAACGATCACGTCCCTCGATCTGCTGGCAGTGCCCCTACTTATACACCCCAAAATGCCCTTGGCCTTCTTGGCAACAAGGTCACACTGTTGACTCATATCAAGCTTCTCGTCCACTGTAACCCCTAGGTCCTTTTCTGCCGAACTGTTGCCGAGCCATTCGGTCCCTAGTCTGTAGCGGTGCATGGGATTCTTCCATCCTAAGTGCAGGACTCTGCACATGTCCTTGTTGAACCTCCTCAGATTTCTTTTGGCCCAATCCTCTAATTTGTCTAGCGCCCTCTATATCCTATCCCTACCCGCCAGCGTATCTACCTCTCCTCCCAGTTTAGTGTCATCTGCAAACTTGCTGAGGGTGCAATCCACACCATCCTCCAGATCATTTATGAAGATATTGAACAAAACCAGCCCGAGCACTGACCCTTGGGGCAGTCCACTTGATACCGGCTGCCAACTAAACATGGAGCCATTGATCACCTTGAGGGGGCCATTTAGGGATCTGGGCAAAAACTGGGGATTGGTCCTGCTTTGAGCAGGGGGGTGGATTAGATGACCTCCTGAGGTCCCTTCCAACTCTGATATTCTATGATTCTATGAAGTAAAACGGATTCCGTCCACACGACCAAACCGGTTTTCAAAGGGCTCTTTAATCCAATTTCTGTACTCCACATCGGCAAGTGGAGTAGCGCTAAAATCGAGATTGCAGTTCCAGGTTATGGGTACCGTGGATGCAATTCGACGTTATTGGCCTCCGGGAGCTATCCCAGAATGCTCCCTTGTGACCGCTCTGGACAACACTCTCAACGCCGATGCACTAGCCAGGTAGGCCGTAAAAGCCCAGGGAACTTTTGAATTTCATTTCCTGTTTGGTCACCATCAGCACAGTCCACCATCACAGGCGATCATGCAGAGTCCACCATCACAAGAGACCACAAAGTCCTGGATTTGCAGACGAGCTCCAGCATGGTCCGAATGGGAGGTACTGCATCTCATTGCATGTTGGGGAGACAAATCTGTTATGGCAGAACTATGCTCCAGAAAAAGAAACGCAAATATGTGTGCTAAAGTCTCCAGTGCCATGACAGAAAGAGGCTACTCCAGGGACACAGAGCAGTGTTGTACAAAAATCAAGGAGCTCAGGCAAGCGAACCAAAAAGCCAGAGAGGCGAATGGGCACTCTGGGTCACAGCCCCATACATGTTGCTTCTGCCGTGACCTACATGCAATTATGTGGGGTGATGCCACCACTACCCCACCACTGTCCGTGGACGTCTGCAAGGGGGGAGTTGCATGGAGTGACGAGGATGAGTTATTGGAGGACGAAGAGGAGGACAGGGCACAGGCGGCAAGTGGGGAATCTGTTTCCCCCCCCCAGCCAGGAACTATTCTTAATGCTGGAGCCAATAGCCTCCCCCCACTCCCAAGGCGGCCTCCTGGACCATGACCCTGGAGAAGGCACTTCTGGTGAGTACGAGTCTGATCGGAGCCTGGGGGTGGGGGAAAACCCAGCTGTGCTGGGCTGTTCGCATTTAGTTTAAAGGGCTCATCCCTGCTCAGAGCCACATCGGAGCCACGCGGTGTGGGGAGGTGGCGTGTTGTGTAAAGCGATCATCCCAGAGAGCTTGCAGGCCCTCCTTTGAGACGGCAAACCCACCAGGCATTGCTTGTTATGGGAAAAGGGGCCCGGCAGTTTGAAAGCATTGAAATGAATGCGGAAGAAGCAGAACCCTGTGTGCCCCTAGGGCTTACCATGTCTGCCTTCAAGCTGAATTCTGTTGCCCGGCCACGTGTGATGGCTTACTCACACCAAAGTGTCAGGCACTTCAGCATAAGAGGCAAAATGCGACCTTGTATAGAAAGAACATGTGCTGTGTACTATGAATTGCTTGTTTCACTGAGAAAGAGTGTCCCCTTTGTTCTCTAAAATGTATCTTAAAATATTACCCTCCCTTTTTCTCCTCCCACAGGTGCAAATGTTACAACGCAGCTCCTATCTACTCTGTCCCAGAGGCTGGTCCAGATTAGAAGG